CTCAGCCTGTGCTCGTAGGGGAGATGCTCCTGAGTCCAGGCTGCCCAGCTCAGGTGGCAGCACCTACAGCCTGGGCACACCATCACCGGGGCCAGTGACTCCGGCCCCACACTCTGCACAGCAGAGCACAGGTTAGAGCAATGCCTCAAGGCTCACACAGCTCTGGGGCTGGGCACAGCTGAGGGCTGCCCACCAGGACGCACAGGAGAGGGCAGAGCTGCTCTCCTCCCTGTGTGCCAATGACGTGTGAGAGAAGGGAGACCAGAAGGAGCTCCAGTGCTCCTTTCTTTCCAAGCAAGTCCTCTCCAATGTGAGCAGCTCTGCATGCTCACTGCTGGGGCAGCCACAGAGCTGTGCATCACAGCCACAGGTCTGGGCACTGCACTGGCACTGGCTGGATCAATACCTAAGTGCAATCCAGGATGTGACAGAACCCAGGCAGAGACTGGGACTGGCTGGAGGCCTGTGTGTGCCCAGGGAATTCCTTGGACAGGCTGGTCCCTGGGCAGCACTGCCATGCTCAGGACTGCAGCCTGGTTGGGCTTTGCAGGTGTGGAAGAGACATGAAAAGCAGGAGGTGCTCCAGTGACCAGGCATGACACATCTCCTTGCCACCAGCATCTGCCCAGACTAATTGCTCTTGAGCTAATGTCAACCCCAAACGGCTGTGGGTGGGCAAAGGAAAATGCTGGTTGTTGCCTACTAACTTTGTTCATGGTTCAGGCCTTCCTTACCTTGGTGAGGGATGGGTAAGGGGAGAAACCCTCTGAATTTCCTCACCATAACTCTTTTATCTATTCCATAATAATAGAGGATTTATTATATACAAATATCTACAGGCATTCAGTATGGCATTAATGAGATTTGTGCATTTCAGCCTCATCTTCCTTATCAGGCAGTCTGTGAACTACACAGATCATGGTTCTTTAATTTCTTTTCATGCCTCCAATCCTTTAATCCAGGTTCAGCCTAGTTGTCCTTTTATTTTCTTAGGCCTAGATTGGAGGAAGGGCATTATATGGCAGCACTCGACCTGAACAAAGTACTCTAAAGGGAGTCAAAGCTGTATATTGTACAGAGTAATTACAGAACAAATTCCTCTGCCTGGTGTTCTGCTGTTCTATTTCTGCCTTTCAGCACCCAATTTACATTCTAATTGCTTCTCCTCACTGTGTAGCTGCTTTATGGAGCTGTAATCTCTCCTTATTACCTTCTAGCCTCCAGGCTTGGCCCTCTGAGTGACTCCAGAGCCAGTATGTCCCTGAGTTTGCTCCTGCAGGACAGCAGCAAACTGTATGTCTCCAGTCCCTTGTGAGGGCCTCAGGAGAGACAGCAGCATCAGCTGGAAGAGATCAGTTCTTTGCATCAGACACAACAAGCCAAACTGGGCTCCTAAACACAGTAACTGAGTGTTTGATCCATAGGGGCTTCTTGAGTCTCTGCAGCCCCATAATGAAACATGCCCTGAGTGAGACATATGGACTGGGATAAACCTTTGCCATGCCTGTGTGCCCACTCTGGATCCTGTGCCACCACTTCTGCTGACCACTGCAAGGTCCCTGCACTCCCAGACTTCGGAGATGTTGGGCTGATGCTGAGATTGGAAATGGAAATCACAGAATTGTTTAGGTTGGAAAACACCCTCAAGATCATCAAGTCCAACCATCAACCCACCACCAGCATGTTCACCAGTAAACCATGTCCCCAGGTGCCACATCCACATGCTGTTTGAACACTTGTAGGGATGGTGACTCCACCACTGCCCTGGGCAGCTGTGCCAAGGCTTTATATCCTCTTCTGTGAAAACAATTTTTCTAGTATCCAACCTGAACCTCCCCTGCCACAGCCTGAAGCTGTTTCCTCTTGTCCTGTCACTTATTACTTGGAGAAGAGACCAACCCTCACCTGGCTGCAACCTCCTTTCAGACTAGAAGGCAACAAACTGCTGCCAGACTAAGTGCAAGCCCTGTGCAACCTCCACTGCTCTCTGCTCATGTCCAACACCCACAGCAGGACACACACCAACACTGGCTGCAGTTTTCATGGCGCTTCATCTGCTTTGCCCTCATCCCACAGCAGCAAATACCACACTGCTCACCCCAGCTGCACACGTCTGGGGGAAAGGCTGCTGCTCCCTCCAGAGGAAGAGGCATGCACAGAGATGCCACAGAAGAGGACAGTGGCCTTCACCAGGGACAGGCCTGGTGACACCTGGGAAAAGCACTTCAAGAGTTGTAGATTAATAAAATGTTAAGGGGTTGGAATGCCCTGGGCAGGGACACCTCCCACCAGAGCAGGTTGCTCAAGGCCTTAGCCAACCTGGCTGTGAACACTGCCAGGGTTGGGGCAGCCACAGCCTCCCTGGGCAACCTGGGCCAGTGTCTCACCACCCTCACAGCAAAAACTTCTGCCTGAGATCTAATCTAAATTTCCTTCTTTCCATTTCTCCCCATTCTCCTTGTCCTGTCCCTGCAGTTCCTAACCCAGAGTCCCTCTGCAGTTTCCCTGGAGCCCCTTCAGCTCCTGGCAGGTTGCTCTGAGGTCTCCACACAACAGACACAGAAAGAAGCCATGGACAGACTTGCTGTCACTGTACCAGTGAGACATTGGGAGGAAGTAGCCAAGCAGAATACAGGGACTTGCAAACAGAGCAGGCAGAGACAAGCAAAGAGTTCAACTAGAGTAATCCTGAGCTGGGGAGAAGGGACTGACCCATTCATATAGCTCTGCTGACATTACAGGAGTTGGATCACAGACACCTGCTCCCTCCAGTCCTGCTGTGTGTCCACAGTCACACAAGTGAACACAGTTTGGGAGGAACCTCAAAACTCATCCAGTCCCACTCCCTGCCATGGGCAGGGACACCTTCCACCAGCCCAGGCTGCTCCAAGCCCTGTCCAACCTGGCCTGGAACACCTCCAGTGATGGGGGAGCACAGCTAGTGCCTCAGCATCCTCCCTGGGAACCCTCAGCACCATCCCCATGGGTCATTTGTACAGAACAGGGAAGGAGGAAGCTGCAGGCAGCACTAGCTTGAAATTTCCAACAGCTCACATGCTGCCAGGGAGTTGCCATTCTCCCCTTGGACACCTCAGCTTGGTCTTTCCTTTGCAGATCCTCTACTGAGTGCCACCAGGAGCTGTAACTCAAAAAGCTGCATTTCAGTACCAGAACCCAGAGCAAGGAACAGGATGGTCAGGATACAGTGTGGAGGAAGCAGAAACTGCCATGGACAGCCAGCAAGGACAGACCCCAACACCAAGGGGTGACAGCAGCCCTGCCCTGAGAGGAGCTCCACTGTTCCTCAGGGGCACCAGAGTCCCATTACTCCCCAAGAACCATCACATGCTCTAACAGAAAACACAACTCACACCTCCTGCTAACAAATCACCCTAAAAGTCTCCTTGTAACATTATACAGGTGATAAATAAAGCAGATACTAAGCAACACACAAAGTTTGCACTAAGATTGCCAACAGGAACTGAACTGGAATCCAGGAACCTCATGGGTGAAGAGTTCAAGGGACACTAAAATCAGAACTGAAACTAAGCTGCCAACAAGGTAAGAAATTTGATTAGAATTATCATTACAGAATGGAAAATACTTTTTCTTAAGGCACTTGTTCTCCCATGCCACTCTCCTCAGGACTGAACCTGCATCTCACCACAGCTCTGTTGGAGAACACAGGTCTGACAAAGGGGATTTAATTGCTCTTAAACCTGTGTTAGTTCACTTGAATTTCCATTCAAGAGGAAAAAATAAAAGAGAAGAAAATGTGCCAATATGCAAAAAAATCCTGTTTCTACACTTTCGAACACGCTGAATGCTGACTTTGAAACAGCTCTGGCTTTGAAATTTCAAAATTGTCTCATCAAGGAAACAAAGAAGGTGACTTAGAAGCAAA